GCAACCCTAGTGCTTGTAATCGATACAAATCTTCAAAAAAAATTTTCTGATGTATATAAATTACTAATTATGTATGATGTTTTACCAATTATTTTTATGTGATGTTTTAGAATATTATACTATGCTCCATGTAAAGATTTTCTGTACTCTGCTCTATTAATATCCATATATATAAACAAAAATATGCATAAATTTATAAAAAGTCAACAATGTTAAATAGCAAAATATATACTTTTTCATATACAAGGCAAGTAAAAAAAAAAACACAATCTCCACAATTTTTTTTTAAAACTCTATAGAATCTACTAATTTTGAAGAAGAAGTTAGTTATACATTTTTATAGAGTGCCACATATCTTCAATTCTCAAACCTGATTTTCAAACTTCTGATTATTGTGAGATATATTTGACAAGCAAAAGATTATATAGCAATCATATAATTGTATCTTTATGACAAGGTTTTTATTTGAAAAAATAATATATAGAAGTTTGAAAGTCTTTAAATATATCAAGTAGATTTGTTAAATTTTTCTTAGTTAGCACCTCATAAAAAAAACTCTCTCCAGAAATTTTTTTGAATCTTTATAAAGTTTACTAATTTTAATAGCAGAAAATCAGTTATATATATTCTTATAAAGCACTACAATATCTTCAAGTATCTTAGATTTCTGGACTTCTTCCTGACTAGCTACCTTGAAAATTTTTTTAGTTGTTTCTAAATTATGTTTGACAGGTAAAAAATTTGTTCTAATGGTGTTTATATAATTATATTATCTAGATACTTTTCTGAAGAGCCTTTATTTGAAAAAATTTTTATTATTTGGAAGTTTTTATTTTTCTTGATTAGCATCTTATAAAGATTCATCCATTTTAATCATTTTTTTAATATATTGAACAGGCTCTCTAATAAGTTTTTTTTGTTTTTTTTGATTTCTTAATATCAATATTTTCTTGCTTAACCTTTCTTATTATTATTAAAGTTATAAAATCGAGACAAATTGAATTAAAAAAAATTATTTATGCATTTTTAGAGTTAACTAAATATTCAAGTTAAAGCTTACAAGAAGTAGAGGACTATGTAATAGCAAATGCCAATAGTATAAACCATAGTGTTGAAGATATTTTAGAGATATTCAAGAAAGAGATGATATTAAAATTAAATGATTATATTTTATATAAAACTGTACAAGATAAAGCATTAAACATTTATAAAAATTTAAGTAGTGGTATTAATAATGATAAGGTTAGTTTAGTTATATTTTTTAATGTTTACTATTAAATTTTATAAATTTTATACTATTTTTTTAATACTATATTATAGATTAATACAGATGGAAAACACAAACTTAGTATTAATGAAAGTATTAATGGAAGGTTGTATTTTTGAATAAAAATATTATTATTATTATTATTATTAGTATTTAATGACTAATACTTTTTCTTTTTTTTTTTTACTTTAATACAAAGTGTTTTTTGACACAATTTTGAACAAAATTTCTAATATTTCTAAAACAAGAAACATATTCAGACATAATAATCAAAATTTCTGACCAAATCTTTAAAGCTTATTACCTGGTAATCTGTACTTATTTAATATTTTTTGCAAGAATTCTGGCAAATGAATATCATTCTTATATTAAAGTATCTATACTTGATATTATGCCAAAAAGTTTTGAGTTGTTTTTGAAGTAAGTATATTATTATTTATAGTAAAAAAAAAAAAAATTTATCAAAATTTTAATTTATTTGATTTTAGTTACTTATATAAAGATATATTATTATTAAAGAGACTTTGTCTAACAGAAATATTTGACTTATATTTTATGACTACAAAATTAGAAATAAAAGAAATCACAACATTTATTATGTTGATAATATATTTTAAAACAAATTAATATATTAAAAGAATTTTAACAGAATTTATTCAGTAAATACAAATATTAGTAGTTAGCCACATCTAAATACTATATTATAAATAATTTGATATATCTTGGTATTATTGCTTTTATTCATATATCTTCATTATAATTATTTATTACAATTAGTAATTAGTATATTTTCTATATGAGGGGGAGTCAATAGAAAAGGAACAAATTTTTTCTAAGTAAAAGTTTTCTTGACTTTAAGCTTAAATATCTTAGCAAT